CCCAGGCAACCCCCCTCTACCTGTCAGAGATGGCGCCCCACAACGCCCGCGGCTCCCTGAACATCATGTTCCAGCTGGCTGTCACCATCGGCATCCTCGCCGCGCAGCTCATCAACTACGGCACGCAGTACCTGCGCCCCTACGGCTGGCGCGTGTCGCTCGCGATGGGCGCGGTGCCGGCGCTGCTGCTGACGTTCGGCGCGATCATCCTGCCCGACACGCCCAACAGCCTGGTGCTGCGCGGCCACAAGGAGGAGGGCCGCAGGGTGCTGCAGCGCGTGCGCGGCACCAGCCACGTCGACGTTGAGTTTGAGGTGGGCGCCCGACGCGCCATAACTTTCTGAGTTAGAAACGGATTTGGAAGCGGCCATGAAATGGGGCGGGTGGGCCTGCTGGTTGTCTCAAGGGCGGGCCCCCCTGACCTGAATCCCCACAATGCTCGCCCGAGCTGCGCCACGCCGCGCCGCGACTCACCTTCGCCCCCCCCCCGCACCCAACCGCCTTGTGTTTCTTGGCAAAAATGCACCATTCCCTGCCCGTCCCCCCCTCTCAAAGCACCCACTTCTGCATCATACTGCTCAATCACACACACACCCAGGACATCTGCGAGGCCGTGAACGTGGCCAGCACCATCAAGAACCCGTACCGCACCATCCTGCGCCGCCGCTACTGGCCCCAGCTGTCCATCACCATGCTGATCCCCATCTTCCAGCAGCTCACAGGCATCAACGCCATCATGTGAGCAGCAAAGACGGCTGCCTGCCTTGCGCGCCGCCGCCTTCTGGGGGGCCAGGGGTTTGTGGGCGTGCACGCCCGGCGCGCGCCGCCGCTGCTGCTCTCTGGGTCGCTCTAGTCTCAGCGAGACGCGAGCAGCTTCCCTGGCAGCTGCTGGGCGTTGCCTGGTGGGCACGCCCCCTTGGGAGGGGTCCTGCCTGCCGCGGCCGCCCCGGCTGCAGCATCAATCGCACGGCAGCGGGCGGCAGCCTTTTGACAGGGCTTGGTGGTTTCTCGTGTATTTTGCTCGACCCCTTGTCCAGTGTGTGTGTGTTGACCGGCGGCCGGTCAAACGCCCCGCGCCCCCTCTGCGCAGGTTCTACGCCCCCCAGCTGTTCCAGGCGACCGGCGCGTCCACCAACGCCGCCCTGATGGCCTCCGTCGTGACCGGCTGCGTCAACGTGATCTCCACCATCGTCGCCATCGTCGCCGTCGACAAGTGCGTGCGTGCGTTAGCGCGTGCGTGCGTGCGTGCGTGCGTGCGTGCGTGCGTACGTGTCTGAGCCGGAGCAGGGGGCAGCAACGAGGAGCCTTTGCCAGCCGTCTGAAGCTTGCATGTCACCACCCATGCGCCCCTCAAAACGCACCCTACCCCTCCGCCCTGCCTTTCATGAACATGCCTCCTCCTCTCCCCTGCTCACCTCCCCCCCTCATCTCTCACCACCCCCCTCTCCCCACAAAACCAATGTCAGGCTGGGCCGCAAGTTCCTGTTCATCCAGGGCGGAGCCCAGATGATTGCCTGCGAGATTGCGGTCGGCATCCTCATCCACTTCAACTTCATGAACCCTGGTGAGCACACCACCACCACCATCACCACCACCACCACCACCATCACCCCCACCGCACTCGCTGCCTGCTTCCGGGCCCCACGCCGCACCCGTCACTTGGCGGCTGCTGCCCTGCTGGCCCTCATGATTCGACCCACCGCAGCCCCGCCGTCACGCTCGCGCGGGCACAAGCTCATGGTCCGCCCTGCGCCTGCCCTCACGACGACCCCTGACACACCGCACAACCCACCCACGACCAGGCAACACCTCCATGAGCGCGGCCATCGTGGCGCTCATCTGCATCTACGTCGCCGGCTTTGCCTGGTCCTGGGGCCCCCTGGGCTGGCTGGTGCCCTCCGAGATCCAGCCCCTGGAGACGCGCGCCGCGGGCATGGGCATCGCCACGCTGTGCAACTTCCTGTTCACCTTCCTCATCGGCCAGATCTTCCTGGTGGGTGTCTTTTGAGGCCGGCAGGTGCCGTCGCAGGAAGCTCATCATGGATTTACATGCTGGTTTGAGCTTGTGCCAGCGAATCTGAGAGTGCTTCGCCAACCGGCTTACAAGGCAACCCCGCCACTCTGTATAGACGTCACTGACTCGCCTTCCCGCCCGCCCCCTCGCCCCGCCCCCGACAGACCATGCTCTGCAGCCTCAAGTTTGGCACCTTCTTCCTGTTTGCCGGCTTTGTTCTGTTGATGACCGCGTTTGTGATCTTCTGCGTCCCAGAGACCAAGGGCGTGCCCATCGAGGAACTCAACGAGGTCATCATGCAGAAGGTGCGGGGCGGTCACGGGCGGTTACGGACGGGGACTTTCTGTATGGTTTTCACCCGGCAGGCGGCCGCCCGCCGAACCCGGGAGTTCCGGCCTGCCGCAGGATGCTTTGGGGCGCCTGGTGGCGCTCGGGCGTCCCAAGCGCCGCCCATCTCGCCGCTGCGGACGCTGCGCCGACGCGCCCACTTGGACCAACGCGTCTCCCCCTGTTTTCCGGCCTCCCCAACCCCCCCGCGCAGCACTGGCTGTGGAGCCGTATTGTGAAGGACGCCCCCAAGGGGGATAACAATGTTGTCATCACCTCCACCGGCGGCAAGGGCGTCGTGTGAGCCCTCGCCCCCTCCCCTCACCCTCCCACACCCCTTCCTGCTGCCCCCTTCCTCGGCAACGCCGCCGGCGCGGCGCCGCGCTGCGAGCGGCGCGCGGGGCGCGTGTGGGGGCGGCGCGTGCGTGCGAGCGCGCGCCGCCCCTGAACTTTGATCAACCGAATTTTTGACAGCCATCTCTCGGGCGGGGTGCGGCTTCTGCGCTGACCATGCGGCGGCTCGGACCCTTACACTAGACGCCCCGCGAGATGCGGCGCAGGGCGCCAGGCGCGCCCCTCGGCTGCGGGGCCAGCAGCTCTCCCGCGGGCGCGCCCGGCGGCCCCGCCGTTCTTTTTTGAGTATCTTTGGGCGAGGGCTGATTTTGTCGGGCGCGTCGCGCGGGCCGCGGGACGCGCGTCACGTGCTATGCAGACCTGTTCTGATCGCCACTCTTATGCAAGCTCTCATCCTGCCCCTGGGCGCTTTGCCGGGGGCTCGTACCCCAACCTTTTTTGGGGGGTTATGTACGGCTCCGTCCTCATTCTTCGTCCCATCAGATGAACCCCACCTCACCGCCGCATGTGCTTGGCATGCGCGCAGTCTCAAAACGCCGCGAGTGTACCTAGGGGGCGCGAGGTCGCAATGCAGCAAATCAGGGGGGTTTGAACCGCCATCATCAATCGCCACCCTGCACATCCAACGCCGCGGCAGCCGCAGCCGCGCGCCACAACCTCACGCCCCCGACCTCAGTCGACCATCCCCCCAGCACCACCGCGGTCGGTTGCCCTTAAAACGTTGCCTTGCCAGTGCATCTGCGTGAATTTTGTCAGCGGCTCGGGTGCCTTTTGCGTGGCATAGGCCCGGCTTGCGATGTTGAGGGGTGGGGCCATGACAAGCGGGTGCCCCACTGCTCACGTTTGGGTGGGTCACCACGCAGAGCACACTACACGTTCTGTTACAGCCGTTCTGTTGCTATGTAATGTTATTCCCCCTGAAAGTGGTGATGGCTGGATGGTGATTCGCGGGTATGCTTGACACTTTCAACACTGCAGCCACGAAGTTCTCAGTACTGCCACCGCGCTGACGGATGCTACTACGGCTTGGGGGATGTGGCCACGTGGGGGACGAGTGCAGTTGTTGTGTCCAGCAATAGGTCGCTTGACACGCAGCGCGGGCAATGCACAGAGGGAAACTGAGCTCATCATTGACTGTGAGCGCTGCCACGCAGAGGGACGCTTGAGTGGCAGGCGTGCACTCACAGGCACTGCATATGGCATGGGCGCTTTATAGGGGCGAGAGGAAGCGGAGCTGCGGAGCGAGAGAAAGCGGAGCAGCGTTTATCCAAGGTGGCGGCATGAATGGGTGCGACAAGCAGGCAGCAGTGCTTGTTTGGTGAAGCCCTTGGGTGACTGATGCAAGGACTTGGCCCACTGCATCTGTGAATGCGGCACATGCGACACTGTGCTGTATTGCTGCCCATGCGGCAGGAAGCCTTGAACATCAGGAGTACCAAGTGCCCGTTGCCAGGTGGTGTGTGCGTGCGTCACTGCGACCCACGTCACTACGCGGGCGCTATTCCTGTTCATGTGTCTGTATCATTCCGCATCGTACATAAGTGACGGGTGGCCGGTTTGCCGCGTGATACATTCTCTGTTTCTGATGCAGATTTATGCGCAGCGAGATCACCCACCCGGCCACAACGTGTTGCAAGCGGCTTCCTCTGAGACTGCTGTGCCTATTAACATCACTGTGGAAGTTGACTATCATCACCACGACAACTTAGGCCTGCCTGACCAAGGAGGCTCTGACACATTATCATGGCGGCGACCGGCGGCAAGCCGGCATCGGTGCCGCTGCAGCCGCTGCCCCGCCCGCAGACCCTCGTCAGCGATGGCACGCGGTTAGACGGCAGGGGCCTAGAGGAGTTCAGATCAGTATGTGAGTCGTCCAAAAGCGCGCGGCGCACTGCGCGAAGGGCAATCGCCCGTCTGCAGGCAGGCCTGCCTATTGCAGCTGGCCCCGTGCCGGTTGCGGCGGGCCGCACCGTGTCGCGCTCTGCCGGCGAGTTGAGGTTGGCGATCCCACCGCCCGCCGCGCCCCTTATTGTAGTCCTGGACACCAAAGTGATTAGCAGAGCGGCGGGCTCGGCGTACGCCGAGTTCAGCAATACCAAAGTCATGGCGGCAGTGTGAGGAGCACCGCATTGTCGCGACTGATGCGCTGCCCCATGCCTTGATGGCCGACCCCAGAGGCGAGGCATGTGTTAAGGGCCGCACGCGTTTGTGGTTCCGGCGTCCAGACGCGACCGGCACGGCCCGTCGCCGCCACCGCCGCCGATGCACACGCCGCGCCACGCGCCCCGGCGGCCCGCGGCCCACCCCCCCGTCACCTGGCGCCCTCCACGGACCGCAGGTATGGCCCGAGGCAGGGGGAGCGGAAGTATGGATTTACAGACATGGGGCGCCTGAACGTGGAGGTGGCTTTCACGAGCTTTGCGCGCCAAGAGAGGGCCCGGCAGGCGCAGGTGTGCAAAGCGCGCGGTCCGGCCCCCCGGGCATGCGCGTGCTGCCGCCGCCGCTGCCGCAGGTGCGGCGCTCAGCAAGGGTGCGTCTGCGGCGGAAGGTGGGCGGCAGCGCTGCGGGTGGCAAGCAGGGGGGATGGGGAGTGTCATCCCCCCGCCCGCGCTGTTCCTATTACACTCACTGGTTTGATCCAGTGCTTTGATCCCTCCCTTCCTGCCCCGCCCCAGCGATCCCTGGAGAAGGAGATGGCCAGCTGCCTGGCAGCTGCCCTGGAGCCCGCCGTCGACCTGTCCAAGCTCCCCAAGAGCGTGGTGGACGTGTACATATTGATCCTGGAGGCCGGGGGCGCGGAGGCCGCCGTCGCGGCGACGGCCGCGTCGCTGGCGCTGGCTGATGCGGGGATCGAGATGCTGGATCTCGTGGCGGCGTGCTCGGTGGTGCGCCGCGTCCGCGTGGGACTGGGGCCGCGCGCTCCCGGCTGCCGCCGCCGCTGCTGCTGGACTGCCGCGGGCGGCGACCGCGTGCTCGTGCGGGCTTTGGAAGGAGCGTGCATGCTTGCCGCGCTCGTCTCTGGACAGCCAACGCGCAACAGTTGAGTGCCGCGCGCGTCCGCGCACCCCCATCTGTTGACAGTCCCTGCTGTCCGGCCAGCTGCTGCTGGACCCCACACACCTGGAGGCGGGGCAGCAGCAGGGCGGCCTGCTCCTCGCCACCATGCCGGCGCTGAGCGAGGTGTGTAAGTGTGTGTGTGTGTGTGTGTGTGTGTATGTGTGTGT